AAAAAAAAATTTTGAAATTCTATTTTGTTGACCCGGCCGGGATATGAAAACCGAAACTATAAGTTTGTATGGCCTTATTTGCAAAATTTATTTCGAAAATTGCATATATTTGAATAAACTTGGTAATTTTTAGTCAATATTAAAATTTATAATTTAAGCCAGATTATTACAAAAATTATACACTTTAAAGTACCTTTTGAAAACATAACGTTTACTAATATATTATTATACTAATACTTATATTTGTGATTAGAATAGTAGGCATAACTTGCTTTGATTAAGTAGTAAGGTAGTGAGTTGAGAATACGTATAATAGTATTGTTTTATGTATCTACCATAGTGCACTGATCAAAGACCCGGGTCTAATACAAATACCTGGCAAAAGACTTACAAAAACCCAGTATATTATATAGCAGTGGGCAAGAAAAAAATTTTTCAAGCATATATATGCTCTGCACTTACAATAAGCAGTCTAAAAATTAATATTTAATTAAGAGATCTTACGGTATAATGAAATTGAGATAAAAACAAGTAGAGTGACTTTTTATTATTCGATTGGCCAATCAGATGAACATAGTATTTGATGCTAACCAATAAAAATCAAGAACTCTGTAAAAATTGAAAAATGCCTAGGTATTTGGATTTACTTGGGCGAATTTGGAGCAATCTTTTTAATGTCCCTGCTCTCCAGTCGAGAGAAACGGATGAGAGCAAGTCACGTGATGTACATTTAGCTCGGAGACCGGATAAGCCCCAAATTTGCAGATCATTTGACCGAGTTTAAAACTCATTACAAGGGCCAAATGATCTACAAATTTGACCAGAATTAAACCAATTGGATCGTCAAAAACGCCATATATCTGTATATCGAAAAATAGTGATAGATTTTTATGATTATCGTCTACGTTATATTTCAGTATATAGTTTTCTATTATAATATAGTTGTAGAAATGAACGACTTAAATCGTGTCCCAGACGATTCTGATGATATTGTTGTCGATGACATGATAGAAATTGAAGATGAAGACGAAAACATGCCAAGGAGAGAAAAAAAAGTTATAAAAAGTGAATTCAAACACGAGGGTAAGTTACATCGCATATTCCACTACTGCTATCTTTAAATGTTGAATACTAAGTCTTATCGCGTGTCAGAATTGCGTGAAATTGGCTCTATGGCAATATGGACACTTTCAAGCTGGAAAGCTGGCAATGGTGTTGAAAATTTACGCGATAGTAGCATGGCGACATATTGGCAGTACGTTTAAGTTATCTAGTTGTTTAATCAACGAAATATGTACTTAATATCATCTTTTTATAGGTCTGATGGTACGTTACCACACCTTGTCAACATTCAATTCCCCAAGAAAGTTTCCGTTGTGGTAATAAAATTTTGAAACATACCTCTATTTCAATACTAAATTTATCTAATTTTAAATTTTCATAATATTGATAGCAAATATCAATTTGGCTTGATTACAAAAATGACGAAAGTTATACTCCAAATAAAATAACAATAAGAGCTGGGACTAATTTTGGTGACCTTCAAGTAATTAAATTTTTGGATATTCTGTAAAGTATCTTGCAAAAAATGCATGAAACGTCAAATTCATCATTTCCAGTTAAACCCTTAACATAATCGAGTAGGATTTGCGAACTGTTGATATTGAAGACCCTTATGGATGGGTTGATATTCAATTAAGTGGAGACCACACGCTAACGTATGAAATTAACATTCTTTATGATTAAAGAAAGCTTTTTTATTACATATTATTAATTGTGTCTACATTATATAGCAGGACAAGCCGTCCAGTAGGTGCCCACATTTTTCAAATTTCCATCAAATCTAATCAACAAAACGGTAAAGATACACACGTCCGACAAATCAAAATATTTGCTCCAAAACTGTGCGTATTTATTTCGGTTAATTTTAACTTGTAATATATTATATATTTGATATTTAAATGTCTAATGAATAATTATCTTTCTAATTTGAAAGCCCTCTTTTTAGGGATGATTCTGATGATGATGATATACCTTTTTTTTCTTCATTGGAATTTCTAATGCACACGACTGTGAGATGAAAATTGTGATAATTTACACCAAACCCAGCCTATAACAAAGTAAAATATTCTGAAAAATTATATATTTATTTACACTACTTTATATAATAAAATTGCTATACTGCATCTGATCTTAGTTGGTCTGTACATATATCCCAACTTTATATATGTTATAAGTAGAAATAGAATTTTGAATTAAGGTTAGGGTTAGGTTGTGGGCTAGATTTTAGATATAATTATTGTACAGGTCTTATGTAACAACCCGTGCTTTTTTCATTATTTATTGGCACGGGATTGTACGTCAGACACCGTGCAATAAAATAGTTGTTATATGGGTTATGAAATAACTAAATTTGCACGGGGTTACATGACCGAAGACCATGTAACTTAACCCGTACAAATTTAGTTATTTTTTACAACCCATACAATAACTATAATATATTCCAATTCTAAATCAATTTTACAGTATTTTTCACTCCCCTCGCTTGACAAATTTGACCAGTACTAAATCTAGTCAAATTGGTCTGGTCAAGCTTAACTTGTTGACAGCCTAATTACAACATATAATTATCATAGTTGTTCAGAACTTCTGAATGAATAATTCCAGATATTTATGTAATTTGCCGTATCTCTTATATGTTAAGCATTTGCAGGCAAATTTGTCAGCAAAAAATTATACAATATGATTTAAAAAATTTTTAATATAAATTTTTTTTTTAAAAAAAAATTTGGCAATCCTGTCTTTATTGTCTCTAGAAGTGAGGTATAAAATAATATACAAAGTATCTCAACAAAAAGCCTGCAATTAACTAAATGCCTTTGACCTTTTTACTTTTGCAATAAAGACTCACTTAGCTACTTGTAATGGTGCCCAAGTGCGATCTTCCACAGCAATAATTCACTCATCTTCAGCATATAACTTACTAGATGACTTTCTGATGTAACTATAACAATTACTACAAATTACAGAAAGCTTATTGCTAGCTTTGTCAAGATTGTCTTTTTTAACATTTTTCCTTCTTTAAAGAGGTAAAAAAAATGGGCGAAGTAGTAAAAAAACAAAATACAAAAGAAAATAAATATGACAAAATAAAGAGAAAAAAGAAGAATAGAAAAAAAAGAAATCAAATATGAAAGGGAATAGAAAAAAGAAAATAACAAAAAAGAAAACAAAAAGAACAGTAAAAAATTTTGTCTTTTAGCACTACTATTACCCATGCTAGGCTAAAAAAATTATGAGGTGCCTCATATTAAAAGAGCCTATTTTGCAATATAAAAAATTTTGAAATAATTGCAGAATTGAGTTTAATCATTTGTTTTGATTTTCGGACTAATTCGGTATTAATCAAATTTCACGATTTTGATTGGTTAAAGGTAACAAGTAACTATTGGGTAGTCCCATAATGTGCTTAGCTTTAGCAGCCTCATGAAATTTTTTTTTTTTACATTATCTCTATTTTTCATTATACAAATCAACCTTCATTTATAATTGAAAAATGTCAATTGTATTAAAATTTACATAAATCTAATAAAACTCATTTTTCGAAAAATTGCAAAATGGGTCCTTTTAATACGAGACACCCCATATAACAAATACAATATTTGTATATCTCTACTGTAAAGCTTTGCCTTATTATTTAAATTTTCTGACTAGGTTATCTGAACTCCTAAATGATATAAGCAACCAAACTTGGTATTATATAAAGCAGCATGGCTTATAAACAAAACAAACCAGATATATAATTGCAGCCTGCCAGAACTGTTCAGATTTGGAAGATGTAAACAATGCTGATCTTTTGGAAGGGGTAAGCTGTTTTGCCTACTTTTAGAAAATTTTGGAAGAGCAGCAAGGAGGCAAAGAAAGGGTTAACACCACTTGTTTTGTTTGATAAAAGAATATATATTTTTATTAAATGCAATATTAATCTACCTTACTTATTTAAAGGCTAGAAGAATGGGTACTTATTCTTTTTAGTGAGTGATAAACTTTAAACTTGTTGGCAAGTAGCATATGAGAACTACTGTACTTCTAAACAACAAGTACCATTTTAATATAAAATTTTATTTAATTTATTATTTATTATTAAATGCTTTTTAGGTTTTATATTTTATTTTAAATTATAAATTATAAAAATTAATTATATTTTAAATAGATTTATATAAATTTAAAATTGGTCAATTCACAAAAGAAGAGATGCTCGAAAAATCTTTTGTCCAAGATTCTTATTGAGGAAATGAATATTGATAGGCAGGAAAAAAAAAAACTATGAATTAAAGACCTAATCATGAAGAACTCATATAATGGAATCTTGAATCTTTTAAAATCATCAAAATCAATATCCTATATTATGGAATTTGCTATACACATAATATGGAATATCTTCTATGTAGGGTTCCGTTGTTTGATCCGGGTTTGATTTGAGTTTGATCAAACCCCAAATCAAACCAAACTCAAACTATAAATT